ATTCCACCTTGACTAATTTTCTATACAGAACTTATTTCAGAAGGGTAGGCATGCATATGACCCTGTATACGTGAAGAAGCAACTTGTTTTTACATATTCTCAGCTATTCCTTTATGTCTATTCATTTCTGATTTTACCTACTAGTTTTGAATTTTTTATAYCTTTATAGAAGGAGACTAGTTTAATCTGTACCAAATAATGCTAGAGAGTTTACCAACAGTTCACAACATATAATTATAGTTTCCAAGGAACTTCTTTCATCAGAATTTTACAGGACTTTAGAAACTTCCATTTCTAACAAGCGTGTAATTAAAAGTGTGATTTGGGGAAGCAATTTTAATTTTTCATTTTGTGTCTGATCACACAATACAATAAAATTAAATTAAGTCATTTAATTAAACAAGAGTCTTTACACAAATTACTGATACCTAAACACAATTTGACTTGGAAAATGAAATAAAATGGAATCATATGTATATAGTTGTATTCATAAGATAAATGTGCTAAATAAAAAGCTGTATAATAACGAGAAACATTCAAGGGTCAAATCCAGGTACAAAGAAAGACACTCCTCTGAATTCCCATGTTTCATCGAGCATCAAAAACCACCACTGTGTGAAAGTAAGTTAAGGATACTTAAAAGTTATATAAGATTCAGGCTTCTAAGAAAAATCACTTTTTCTTTGCAATAAGCTTATTTGTTGTTTAATGTAAAATATACCAAAAATAAAACGGAATTTAGTAATTACTATGACAACAGAAAATTATCTAAATTTTTTCTTCAATTTTTATGAGTACTTTTTCCATGTAAAAGACTAATACATCAAAAAATACTAAAGCAACGTTAAAGGTGATAACATTGATTTTTAAGAATTGGTTCATTATTACAGTAACAGTTCWCTCTCAGTATTTGGGCTAATTTGTATGTTCCACTTTTTCCATACAATATTTCTATTTATCCTTGTATAATTTAGTTTGCCCATAAACTCAAGCTCAAGAATGAGAACTTCTATAAACACTAGAATCCCTGAAAAATACTTATGAGAACCAAAATCAACTGTATTTGAATACTATGAATCTATACAATGGTATAAAAAAAAATATTACTTGTGTTTGTTTTCAAAGTAATCCAAAAGTTATTACTATGTTAACAAAACTTAGTATGTACCAACCCCAACATTACTAATTTCCTCCTCATATTTATAAACCATAGTTAAAAGGATACATCTTTTAGTTCTTTTCTTGTACATTATTCTGTATCCACATTCTCTGCATCTGATTGGATCCCTGGATTTTATTTCATTTTCTGTGTGACATTCTAGAAAAGAAAACACACTTAATCAATGCCCAAAAGGAAAACATTACAAACAAGAAAATGATYTTAACTCTATTTTTTATCCAAGGCAACCCAAAGCACTAAGATATACTGAAACTGAAGAGTAGGCTGCTATTACTAAATATAGTAAGTAGGTAAGAAGAGTTGTAGGCAATGCACTTTTTCCAGGTGAGAACATGAAGTCTTAACAGGAGGTTTGGTTTTTTTTTTTCTCCTTCTTTTTCTCCCATCCCCCACCAAGATAATAGGATTGCTAAAAAGTGTTCTACTTTATAACTTTAAAGACCAGTAATCCATTTAAGGAAATAATAAATGCAATAATTTCAAGGAAAAAAATAAGGAAAATACTCTTACTTTACCTAACCGCTACTCTTACCTCCACAGATATAGATCATTGGCTGCTGCTTTGGGGGTTGAACGTCCTTCTGAGTGTCCATTCCTACCTGAAATCACAAACTCAAATATTAAATATCTCAAAGGAGCTTCTCAAAAAACCAACCAATCCCCATTTTCCCCTGAAGCTAAAAAGATGATGTCAATTCCTAATCTGTGCTTCTTTCCTAAATACTACAGATTAGGTCTAAAGGATGAAACAAAGTATTGAACCTCACCCAAAACTCACACGTTAATAAACACTTTATGCATGTTATTTCATTATAATTCTCACAATAATCCTAGTATGTATCACTCTTGTTTTAGAGATGAAAAAGTTGCCGTTTAGAAAATTAATTTGCGCAGAGAAACAGTCTAACCGAAGGGGGAAAATAATAACTCCCAACAGCTAACTAAAAGAAACTAGAGAGAAATGACGGCAGCATCGACTTTATTCTGCACCCCGCCCAAAACTGCTCCCACCCGAGATCTTTTTAGCATATAGACACCAAAAACTTTTGGGCCAAATACCTATCCCCTAAACCCCAAGAAACATACTTAACACACCACGCAGACTTTTCCCAGCGTCTCCAAACAGAACACCAAACGTCGCGGCGTCGCAGCCAATTTCCGGCGCCGGCCWATGACGCAAGAGGTGTCTCCGCCTCTTCCGCCTCATAGAGGCCTGGGAACACGCATTGCGCAAAGGCGGTAAAGCATATGCGATTTTACCTTAGATTGATTGAGATGTCTGTTTSGCTTATAGCTATTTTCGTCTTTGAGAGAAACAAAGCATTTTAATGGTTTTACAAGTCGAAGAGGTTTGTGTTTCCGACTAAGGAAGTTGGTAGGGAAGTAAAACTTCTAGAAGGGCAGAGGGATAGAAGAGAAAATGACAAATGCGGGTGGAACCCAACCTAGCCGTTATTCTAGTTTACGTGGAAAGAACTACCAGTATTTTTCACATATAAAAGCACTTTCTGTCAGATCAGGCGGAGCAGGCAGCGACCCAAGGAGGCAGATTTAAAAGGGCCGCTGAACAGGCTTTATTGAGATGTCACTCCCAGTCGGAACTCGATCAGACCCACAGAGGGGACAGGAGAAGGATCTGAGGAGAAAATGCGTGGAAGCTGGACCGGACTGGACTTTTAAGGGGCTTACAGCAGGAAGGGAAGGGCTTGGGACAGGAAAAGGTGTTTTTAGGGTCCCTTGCCCCCTTGGAGTTGGTCAGGGGAGTTGGCTGAACTCCAGGATTGGCCAGGGGGTCCTGCTGATTGACAGGCGTTAGTCAGGAGATCTGGCTGATTGACAGGCATTTCCGCAGGCATTCCGGAGTGGGCTGCTTTGTTCTAAGTTGCCACCAAGTCGCCATCACCGACCTAATACTTTTCAGTTATGTTTTTCAGATGTTTGAGACCTGTGCTCCGGCAGTGCTGCAGCAGCTTCCCGTCCTTCGCCTGGTTTCCTTTTTTGGTTTGGGCTTTGTCCTAGGCCCCCTTTTTTAAAGCAAAGACCCAGTGAGGGCAGCTATTTCTCTCAGCCGTTGCTCTAATCTAAGAGATTAATCACGTTAATTTCCCTTTCTCCCTCCCGTGTATTCGTCCACAGAATAACAAAATTGTTAAAGTGGAGGTGCATTCTTTCAAAAATAAAAGTTCTCACTGAAAATTCTGTTTATACTTGTTAGTAGGGCAAAGAAAATGAAGTTATTCGAATTGAGAATATATATATATATTTTGTACTGGAGATTGAACTCAGGGGCACTCGACCACTGAGCCACATCCCCAGCCCTTTTTTTTTTTTTTTTTGTATTTTATTTAGAGACAGGGTCTCACTGAGTTGCTTAGTGCCTCGCCATTGCCGAGACTGGCTTTGACCTCCCTATCCTCCTGCCTCAGCCTGGAGCCCGGCCACAAGTATCTTAATCAGTTGTTAAAAAACATTATAAAGTTAATCAAAGTAGTAGGCTTTTTTCCTCCTGACATACACCATGTTTTTATTATCTTATTAAGCAGGCTATGTTCCTTTCCAGTTCTCCATCCAGCATCTTAAGAAATTTGAGCTTCACTTTTTACTTCCAGGAGTTCAAACAGTGGTTGCATCTCCACAGAACAGCTTGAGAGATTTAACTTGATCTTTATAGTCTTCCTAGATGCTAATTTAAAATTTTCCAGGACTTGAAGCGTAGCTTAATGGTATAGTGCTTGCCTGGCATGTGTAAAGCCCTAGGTTCAAACCCCCAGCACTGCAATTAATAATAATATTAATAGGAGAAGTAGTAATAATACTAATATGTTAAAAATAGAAATTTTCAGAGGAAATTAATTTAAAATTAAAAACAGAAATTTCCAGAAAAGTATCAGTTTCCTGCTTTTTCCTTTACCCACAGACTAACAACAAATATTTTGACCATCAGCCCTGTTATGAAATACTTCTGTCAACCAAAGAGATAATCCAATACAAGGGGATATCTCTTCTCCACAAGAAATATTAAAGAAGACTGTTTTTATCATAAGASAAGGATAAAGGAGTGATCCTGAAAGCGAAGATTTCACATTTGCAAGCTATCCTTGATTCTAACTCCAAGTATCAAGATGTCTATGAAACTAATCAATCTATAGCAACAGAATGGATCAATACAGGTAGAATATAAATGGATCTGGAGACCCTTCAAAATGGTATGACAATAACAAGGCATAGTAAGGAGACCCAGAATTTCCACAAGAGTTCATTTTGGTGCTAGTTCCCAATCGAAGGCCTTCTTTTCTAATAGCAGTAAGCAGTAATTTAGGATCTAAATTTAGCTTCATGGAAGCTACCCTATTATCTTTTGGTGGGGATGGGGATCTGGGTCTGGGATTGAAACCAGGACCTCACACATGCAAATGCTGTACCACTGAACCACACCCACAACCCTATAACCTATTAACAATGATGATGTTAGCTAACTTTTCTTGAGCCCTTATTACGTATCAGACATCTTTCTCCTAATGAGAGTAGTTGTCTTGCCATCCTGGACATGAGGGATTTTAACTCTTTTGAATATGGTTATAGAGATAACAAGATGCTATCCACTCCCCACCCCAGGTGAATTTCCCTCTTTCCTTTTCCTTGATCATAATTACTTATGAAATTGGCATTGCTTGAATGCCACGGTCAATGGGAAAATCTCCCATTGATTGGTCACAAAAAGAAGCATTAGATCTTGTGAAAAGTAGGTGTATTCGATGGAATGGTGCTCAAAAACAAGAAAGGGAAACAAAAGAGCAAAAGACGAGTGGGTAAAGAATATAAAAATTTAGTTAAGTGGCTACCTCTGGAAAAATTCCTGGAAAGGGATTTTTTTTCTTTTTTCTTTTTTTTTTGTGTGTGAGTGTGTGTGTGTGTGTGCAGGGAGTGATGAAAATTATTCTTTCTTAACTTACACAAAAGTTCCATGATATTTTATTTTTTACTTACAATTAAAGTATCTCTGGAAAATAAGTTAACTGGAGGAAGAAAAGAGTAATGTTTGAATGATATTTGAAGGTGATGTGGATTATATTTAACGATAGGCAAAATTCCCACCCTATTTGCATTGGGTGAGGATGAGTAGCAAACATTAAAAAAATAAGTAGACAACACCACATTTTAGAAGGTGACAAAATGCTTGGGAATATTCAGTAGAGAAGGAGGATGGCAAATGCCAAGCAAGGAAGGGTGAAATAGTTGTAACATTTGTTTGAAGAGCTAGGGAGCATACTACTCACTGTGTGTGGGAGTGCATGGGAGGCCTCAGACAGGTGCTCTTGAATGATGTGTACTCCATCAATTCCTTACCTGAATTCACACATGTACTTCATCTTAACCTCACACTAAATCCATCTTATTTTCCCCCATGCCTGTTCTCTAACACTCCCCTCACCCTAAGTCACAAGCGGTGGATTCTGCCAGGTTCTTCTCCATTCCCACTGTGTCCCAGAGTGACACAGTAGCTTCCTTGAAGCCACCCCCACCTCTCTTCATTCTGTACTTCATGCTGCCACAATGGCTTTTCTAAAATGCTCTGCACTGCCTCGGAGATAAACTTCAGATTCTTAACATACACCCATAACTCTCCATGACTTGGCTCTACCCCTTTTCAAGAACTTTCTCTTGTGCTATCCTCTGGTATATCTTGTTTTTCAGCTATAACAAATTATTTACAGTTTTTCTAATGTGCCCAGCTCTCAATTTCCTGCTCTTGATCATTTTGAGTTTGGAATTTCATGTTGTGTACCTTTTATGCCACATGTCCATCAAAATCTATCTGACATGGTCATTAGAAGTTAGCATTGCACCCTCTTCTCCAGTAGCATCAGTAGGTCCCTCTTTCCTTTGTGCCACTGCTATTCTTCTATTATAGTACCGGTACCATACCATTAGCCCCTTAAACTAGTGACTGCTTTCCTTATCTTTTTTTTTTTTTTCCACTCAGTACCTAGTCCATTAACTGGCAGGAAATTTGAGTTGAGTGAGTTTTATTTTGGATATGTTAAGGATGACCAAGGGGCATTCGGATAGAGGAAAGTCACCAAAGTAGAGTTGTGGAAGAGGCAGTTGGTAGCACCAGCAATAGTTGAGCTTCTAAATGAGACTCTGAGATGATCACCTAAGTGCTGAATTAGGGTAGGGTCTTGCCTAAGGAATGGGCCAAGGAAAAGAAGCCAAAACCAGACAAGGAGGAAGCTGCTAAGAGCAGTAGGACTGTGTCTGGCATCTAAGTGTCCAGTAAATATTTATTGAATGAAAATTAGTGTTTAAAAATACGTTTGGCATTGAAAGTATTTGGGTGTATGCCAAACCTAATAAGGGATGTCTGTAAATAATGTATCCATTTCACTGTTTTTTTTTCCAGTTTTCTAATTACAAAATCTATATACTTGTCTATTCATTGTAGAAACACGAAGAAAAATACAAACAGGACACTATTTAAAAAAAAAGCATAATCTTATCCAAAGATACAGTGACCACATCATTCCTACCTTTAAGCTCTTACTCTGTGTCTCTATACTTTTCACCTAAGGGCGCTCATTCCATTTGTAACCTGCTTTTACACTTGAGCCCGGAACTCTTTTCCAGTGAATACCCTCCTGCATTATTTCTAATAGCACCGCAATGCAAAGCACAGAAGCCTTTGAAAATGATGCTTCCCCAAGWGAGCGTGCTAAAAGAGCCTCGACCTGCTTGGGTCTGGTAGGTGGGAGAGGGCCGGGCTTGCCGGCTGGCTGCGGGCGGGGCCGCGGCGGAGCCCGAGGAAGGGGCGGCGCGGGGCGGGGCGGCGCGGGGCGGTTACTCAGGGCGGGCAGTTCAAACTGAAGGAGGGAAAGGCGGCGGCCCCACGCGAAGCCGGCGTGAGGGTTGCCATAGCCCGGCATCCCTGGGGGGCTAGCGAGGCTCCTCCCGGGCGCACCCGCGGCGGCCGCCCGGTTCCCCGCCCACCCATCCGCCCCGCGAGCTGCGGGGTCGGAGCGGCAGCTGGACGGGGTAGGGCACAGGTGTGTGTGCCCGCTAGGCGGCCTCTGGGCGGCGCGCGCCCCACTGGGGWCTCCGGGTGCGGAGACTAGCAAGGGTCAGGGCACCAGCTCTCCTCCCGCGCCCTCCGCTCCAGGTGAC